GAATGATTTAGGCTTTAGTTTACGCAGACTGGTTTAGGCTTTCGAGTCATCGGATCGAGATCGAAGTAAAAACACGATTCCCCAGGTCATTTCTGAACATGCGTAGGCTTCCTGGGTTTTCTTCCGATTCACAATCGCCATCTTCTTTATCTTCGTCATCGTCTACGGTCATGATCATCTGCAAAAATGTCTTGCATGTCGCCGGTAATGGCAGTGGAAGGTCGGACCCAGCATAGCGACCATGCGTCTGCGCCGAAAGCACTACCGAACATAATCTAAGGATCCCGGATAGTTCTCAGCCCAGGCCCGGAAACCCAAGCCCAACCTCAATGCGAGGACGAGCCTCAGCCCTCACGGAATCCTCGGTGCTCCCAGGCTCGGCCATGCTGGTGGTTCGCATGGCCCCAGTAGCAGCAGTCGATGCATTCGACCTCAGTGCTGCTTGGCTGCACTTCTAAAGTAGAGGTTATTCGCAACTAGATGGTTAGGAGTCGTCGTTGAGGTGTTTCCGCTGTTGCTCGCCCTGAGTTGAAGTTGATTTGAGGGGTCCGGGTGTCTCAATAGGGTCAACAGTGGCCACGAAAAGAAGGGGTATGTCCTAGTCCCATGGTGTGTTTGTTTCCAACCCTACGTGCCTGCCAGTTGCAGTCTGGTGGTGTCATTGGTCGTGTTCACAGGTAGCATTGTGTTTACTGAGTCTCATTAGTGTTATCAGGTAGAACCTAGAACGGCAAGTATTGTCTCTGTTCTGTTGTGATCATACTGGTTGCACATACCATGACGCTAGAGCCGAGTATTTCACGTTGACGATGATGTTACGCGGGTATTACAGGGTGTTCAGCATTAGAACTTTGTTTGCGGGCTACGAGTACCGTCCTGGTGATGATCAGTAGTGACAGCATCATCATCATTGATTCATCATGGTCATCATCATCATGATCATCATCATCGTGGCCATCGCCATCACCATCACCATCATCACTGTCACCGTCATCAACATCAGCACCATGATTCAGGACCCAAAGTCTCAGCAGGCTCGCTGCCGACAACTTGAGCACGTAAACTCATCGTAGCCCTCCCAGATTTCTTAGCTAAAACCCCTACGCCCGAACGCCGAAAGCCCTCTATACTCCACATCCTAAGAAGCCCAAATCCCGAGCTCACAAGATGCAGGTGAGCCCTGAAGATGTCGAAGCTCTTATGGGCCTGCCTGCCGGCTTCAGCCCCTCTGGCATATGGGGGCCTGAACGATTACTGATGTTATTCCATAGGATTCCTCCCAAACCCAATTCTAATTATGGAGGTCACCTGCACCAGTGAGCTTTGAGGATTAGGAGTTCAAACGGGAGGGGTGGCGCTCTGGATTACTGTCACTGTTAGGGGCTCCTTGCTCTGGTATGTTCTTGTTTCTAGGCACGCAGACTGACTGGACACCTTGGAGATGCTGCGTGTCGCCGTGTCGTGTCGTGGGCATCAAGGCCGTGCGCCTGCTAAGGCAACGCCTGCGGCGCATTGCCGGAGGGCCTCGCTCCAGCAGACATTGTGTTCGCCACGGCCGACATTGCAGTTCAGGCGAGAGCCGGAGCGAGGAAGAGTTGGAGTCAAAAGCCTCGGCATTTCCGCATGCCAAGACCCACTTGTTGACACATATTTGCACAGTTTTGCAATGAAGTAGGGTTTGCTTGTGCAGGGCATGTTGTGTTCGTCTGCCCATGCCCCACGAAGCGGCAGAACATGTCATCCTCAGCACATAAGTTGCCAAGCGTTGGAGTAGTTCTTAGAGTCTGGTTTCTTCAATCTAGAGTGGTATCCGAAAGAAGGGGAGTTCGAGAAGCTTCGATCACATCCGCCCTTGTTCTTCGCTGTTTGAGATGCCAGAAGTTCGTTCACTACCACATCAGTCAGCTGCCGGACCCGCCACAGCCACGAAATAGCAGAACGGCGCAAGCAAGAGAGCACCGTTTCTGAGATGTCCAAGTACCTGGGATTTCTGTGTCCATGCCATAGGAAACCTGTCTGAACTCTCTGTTTGTCCAGCAAAGCGAAGTGAATACCTGAAAAAACCACTGCAACCAAGGAGACTGGGGCCGCACAGTCATGGTTCTGTGATCCACTGCAAACCCAGCAGCTTATCCGATCTGCCTTAGACCGCCATGCTACAAGTACAAGCCATCAGCATCACACTGCTTGCCAATCTAGAAGCTTGAATGATTACCCGTGCTTTGCTCAGGGTTCCTTATTAAGTATATCCGACTGTAACCCAAAACCTGAGACAGGGCCCGTCTGGTCCGACTGTTGCTGTGGGCGTGGGCGACGTAGGCAGGGGTCCGAGACAGAGCTTGAATTGATTTGCAACGGGGTCAATCGCCCAGCACAGGAAGATTCGTTGCGGCTGACTGCGTGACACGACCTTATACCGTAGATGTTCGTGCACAGATATGCTCGAGTCCTGACTGCGAGGCATGGTTTTTGGAGAGCCCACGACGCCAGAAGCACGCAGCAAAGGCCATCAGCGCCATGCGAGACACAGAAGAGCATCTGCGAATATACTAATAATACTAATAATTGTAACGATAACAGTGATGCTGCTTACAATAATACTAATCGTAATACTAACAATAGAAATACTACGACGACGACTACTTCTGCTGCTAATAATGGTAATAACAACAATAATAACAATCATAATGACAGCATGAAGCACAGCAATAATAACAAACTTATAATACTTTGCATTCCAACCTCACGGCACGCCAACAGTTGGAGCCTCACCGAGGCGTAAGTCAGCTTGCCGGGGGGGTGGTCGGCTGCGATGTGCCATCGTTGCGGTTTACATGTTTGCCACATTTTTTGCTTTTTATCTTGCATTTCTCCTGAAGTCTTTCAGTCCAAACCGGGTTTGCTGTTAGAGGGACAATCTGAATCCCTTTAGGCCCTCCAGGCCACCAGGCAAGGGAGTCGCACTGAGCGCAGGCGAGGTGTTGGTTCGCTTCGAGGCCCGTCAGGACCGTCTTGCGGGCGGCACGGGGACTGGGGTTTAGGGTTTAGGGTTGGCTGACATTGCAAGCCTCTTTGCAGAGGATTGTTCACGCCATTCTTGAGCCCAGGCTCCAAGCAATTCACCTTTGCCGTTGTAATGATTTTAGGGTGGCGTGGCTTCGTGCTTTGGGTATATGAATCAAGGGCTGTCGTCACTTGTTCCTGGTCCCAGCTGGCCCCAGCTAGCAGCGACCCAAAGAACCGGCCAAAACTCGGAGCCCAAAACCTAAGCCCTCAGCTGCAGGATCAAGGCAACCCAGTGTTTCTCAGTGCATCCTGTCAGCAAGCGAGAGTCATGCGATGAATGGCCAGGGAGCTACGGCGCTACCCTATCGCCTCAACTAGGTTCTTCCGTGTCGCGCCAGACTGTGCACAGGGAGTAGTTTGGGGTTTGACGATTATTAATTAATCGAAACCATGTTTTGGGGCCCGGGCATACAAGAGCGGCATAGTAGTATTGAGGAGCTGTCAGAAATAGTTAATTGAATTATTGTAGTACTTATTCTATATTATGATGTTCCCTTCGAGTAGCAACAAACGTAACTAATGCGTGGCATTTCCCACGGGTTTTGGCGCAGACCGGGGCTGACGCAAAGAAACAGCGCCAGCTGCCCTTGTCCTCCTGCACGAGTGAATCACTTGGCAAATCAACGACCACGTGGGCTGTTTATTTAGCACATACGAGCAGCATCTCACGTCTAACAGATTCCGTTAAAATGAGTCTTCAGGTGTATGCAAGATGAGTAGTCTCTTTGTGCCTTAGACAAGCATACATACATATATTTACATATATGTGTATATACGCGCATATACACACACACAGAGTACTGTATATTGTACAATAATATGGGCAGGTATACTCCATAATTTTTGCCAGCGGCATGTAAAATGGTATAGTCAATCAGTTCATCTTCCGCACATTTCAGGTGTTGGCCAAGTCGCTCTCCCGCAGCCCACTTCTTAGCTGCGGGAAACGAGCCGAGGCGATCGGGGTTTCGGTCAGAGCGTCCGATACAGCACACACACACAAAGCACACAGACACATACACACACACACGCACAGAGACAGACCCACACACACACACACGACACACAGCACATAAGACACAGACACAGACACAGAGACACACATACACACACGCACACAACCAACAAATGCATGCTGGCATGCAGACACAGGCGCAGATGCAGACACGGACACAGACAGAGGCAGGCTTCCCAGAGCTCGAGAGAACTGGGTTTTAAAGTTTGGGGCTTGGAGCACCAGCAGCAAGTAAGACCTTGCGTGGAAACTTGGCATCATTGTTGAAACCCAAGCAAGCTAAGGCAGAGTCTTGCCCTTCAGCTTTTGAAACGATGACCGCAAGCCTGCTTCTGTTTTAGGTGAAGAAGCCACTTCAGTTCCCGGATGGATTCGCCTCTTGGCTGTGCCGCGGTGGGCTCATTCGAGGCAAGAAGAACCGCCCAGATGCAATCGACTCCTTCGTGGTTCTCAACGTGGATGCGTAGAGTTCTTGGACAATGCACTTGACATTCTCACGTCGGGCACCTGTCTTGGAGCTCTTAGCCTCGCGTGCAACGTAGGGGTCACAGGAAGTACTGAGAGTAGCCCCTTGTTGTCCGTCCATTACTACGTTAGAACATCCCCCTCAACTCCATTCCGATAGATAAGGCTCCCATAACACTGTCCGCGGAGAGTTCAGCAACTTGCCAGCAGAGGTTGCAGATGTCGGATCCGTCGGCATCGTCGTGCAGAGTGTTGTGGATGGCCACGAAGTATCCTGGCGGCGTTGGATCATGCCGTTCCCCGCTCCTGCATTTAAGGATCCAGGCTTCGGGATTCTGTGAATCCACATAGCTGCACCGCAATCAGATTATGGATATAGTACAATATACCCCCAAACCCTATCTAGCTTTCCGTCCTGCTACCATCGAGTGCCGGAGTTTCAGCTGGGCTGAAGGCAGATGTTGTCCAGATCCACGATGGCACAAAGGCCCGAAGCTCCGACCCACAAGAGATCAGTTGGGGGTTTAGGGTTCAGGGTTAGGCCTCATTCAGCCTGCTTCTGATGTCTGAGAGTTGAGTGCCAGGCAGACGCCCTTTCAATTGTGCGTGTGTGACCAGCATAGGTCCTCAAAGCCTGATGCTAAGGTCTTAAACCATGTTTCCTGAACCCGGATGTAAACTCTCTGTTGTCGCGCCCGAGTAGGAGTTGGGCTAAGACTAGGAGTAGGAGCAGCAGCAGCGGCAGCTGTAGTTGATACTAGTAGTGCTTGAAATGACACGAGCACTAGCAGACTAGCAGTGCTGACAACGATAATTACTCCGAGAACGGCTATTGAGTCAGCGGTCGTCGGGCTCTCGCTCCTCAACCATCAGCGTCGCCATCGCCGTCGTTATCATACCATTTTCATCACCATCAGTAGCACCATGTTCTTTTTCGCCGAAACTCCCAGCATCACCATGACACGCGCTGTCGTCATCACCACCACCTAGACTCCAGACCTTCACCATGATCCACCGGCATCGCCACGGTATCACCTGATCCTAAGCCCTAAACCCTGAACCCTAAACCCCTAAAGCCCGAAAGCCCTAAACCCTAAGCCGTGATCCTCGTACTGGGTTCGCCCTCAGCCAGGAGAAGAGCTTTCAGCCTTTACCGGGCACGGTTTCTCTTCTCCACGACGGCAAGGCGGATCCTAACATATAGGCTTTAAGAGGAGCCGGGCCCATGCTACTATCATAAAACCTCTACCTGAGCAAGATTTCACAGGTTTCATGTGATCTCACACGTCTGCATTCGGGCAGGCCCTTCTTGAATTGAGCACATGTTGCTTTTGAGCTGCGGTACTATTCTCTGAGGCTCACTGAACAAGTCCAACAAAGCCCGATTCAAACACCAGCAGCCTGCATCCGCACTCGTCAAGGTGACCTCCGAGGAACTCGAGGCCTGCAGTGCATGCCCTTGAGCTTGTAAGATTCTCTTTTCAAAGCTGCTGTGAAAGGCTTTGTTGAGAAAGACACCTAGCTCCTTAGGAGCACTGGAGCTGCCAATAGCTTTTATTCGAGGTTGCTTACCTACATAGCATAAGATCTGGGTGTGAGGAGAGGGCTTCCCAGTGTCGTGGTCTGTGTTTGTCGAGAGTTTGTGCATGCATGGACGCCTACAGGCTATGTTGGTACTTCTTGCATCTGTCTGCAGTCGCATTAATAGTAGTCGTAGATGTGTCTTTTTTGTTCCCGTTGCGCGGCTTGTGCGGTACAGTAGTTTCTGCATCGTTTTCAATTTATACGAGCAGTGGTGGCGGTCGCAGCAGTGGTTGTAGCAGTTGTGGTGGTGGTGGTGGTGGTGGTGGAGGTAGTGGTGGTGCTGGTGGTGGTGTGGTCGTCGTAGTGGTGGTAGCAGCAGCAGCAGCAGCAGCAGCAGCAGCAGTCGTAGCACTTCACCCACAACAACAGCAACAACCACGACTACTACCACCACAACTACGAGGCCGACGACTAACAACGACAACGACGAACACCATCACTACTTCGGTGAAACCCTCATCTGTGTTCAGTCTCCTTGAGTGAGTTTTATATGTTTGTCAAGCTGTGTATCTGAGCATTCATTTCTAGGTCCGTGCGTGAGAGAGTTTGTCTGCCTGTTCTGCATTGAATGCGCTTGCCTGGCCGCTTCCCTATTTTAAGTATATATACATATATATATATACATATATGTATATATACATAGACATCTATCGTACAGTGGTAGTACAGTAGTAGTACAGCGGTAGTACAGTAGTATTATAGTAGTACAGCAGTAGTACAATAATAGTACAGTAGTACAGTAGTAGTACAATAGCCGTACAGTAGTAGTACAGTAGTAGTACAGTAGCACTTGCTTGGTTTCGAAAGCTTGCTGTCCTTTCGAATCCAAAGCTTTCCCAATGAAGGGCTTGGCTTCTAAAGTTTGCGTTCCTCTTGAACCGAAAGCTATCCCAATCAAGGTCTTGGTTTTGAATATAAAAGGTTTCCCAATCAAGGGCTTGGCTTCCAAAGTTTGCTTTCCTCTTGAACCGAAAGCTTTCCCAATCAAGGCCTTGGTTTTGAATCGAAAGCTTTCCCGATCAAGGGCTTGGCTTCTAAAGTTTGTTTTCCTTTTCCTGGCTTCTGTAGGCACGACCAGAAAGCCCTTCCTGCCGGAATAAGGAGTTTTCTTGAGGAAGGCATGGTTTTTGAGATCCTCCGAATCTGCGGTTTCGGAGTCCCGTGCAGTGCTCGCAGTTTCTCTCTCTGCCATGCTGGAGGGTTCCCAGTCATTGCAGTTTCTCTCCCTTTCTTTGCAATACTTGAGCGGTCGTGGTATTTGCAGTATCTCTCTTTCTCTGCCATGATATTGCGGTCGCAGCAATTGCAGTTTCTGTCTTTGTCTGCAATACTGGAGCGGTCGTACTAATTGCAGTTTCTCTCTCTGCAATACTGGAGCAGATTCCCACAAAGCTAAGCAAACCGACATCAGGAAATTCTCCAAAAAAAAGCTTTGGGCGTCGGGTGTTATACTTGAGGGAGGGTTTATACTTGAGTTCCGGGGGTGGGTTAAGAAAACGGAGGGGGGTGTTGTAAAATTGAAGCCAATACTATATATATATATATGTCTATCGATCGGGTGGGACTTAGACATCGAGTTTGTGACATATAATTGTTGATGTACAGACAGGCATAAAAAACTAAACTGTAAGATAGGGCGCTTAACCCTTAAATCGTTCTCAAACATCACACATTCCAAAGTCCTAAACCCGAAATGAAAAAGCCCTCAAATCCCTGAAGCCGTCGGCCCTAAGCCCTGGCCCCAAAGACTTTGGAGCCCTCAGCCCTGCATCCGAAATCCCGAAACACTTCGGGAAGCAAACGCCAGTAGCATAGGGGCCAAAATGCTTACCTACATTTTTCCTTAGGGTTCCTTGTCCCAATTGTACTATCCAGGAGAGGAAAAAACCCAATTATAATTATTAAGACCCTACATTATGTCGAAAAAAGCCCCCTTTGGAAGGCCTCAACCCTTTAAATCAAGACAGATGGAGCCCTATTAAGTATGCTTATAGATCCCCAAACTGCAAAGAAACCCAAACGCCAAGCCCGAATGCTCTAAAAGAAGCCCGAAGCCTCCTATAAAGCCCCAAAGTCCCAAACTTCCTATAACAGTAACGCTCTAACGGGACTCCTCTCCTTTCGACCTTTGTAGGCTCGACTCAAAGAGTTGGAGACACTGGCAACTCTTTTCGATGCCGCCGGCAAGCACGGCCGGAGCTCCGCAGATTTGTTGGATCCTTTTTTGGGTGGTTTTGAGGGGTTTTAGGATCAAGCATTCGGCCAGTGCACTGTTTTAGGGTTTTAGGGTTAGGTTCGGGATTGGTGGTGCAGGTTGTCACTGTTGGCGTCTCGATGAATATGTAGGGCTCACGACATAGGGTTCTGTGCTTGTGCGAGGAGAAGCCATACCTGACAAGTTTTGTCCACAACCCTGGAATATTCACACGGTTTAGTATTTAGGGTATGGGGTTTATGGGAAATCCTAAACTCACCCCGAACCCCAAGGCCCGAAGGATGTTAAAGGCCTACATCCAAGAACTTCGAAACCGCGAGGACAGTTTCAATGTTGGAGCAGAACCTCTGGGCCGCCTGTGGCATGGGCACCGGCGTGAATCTCTCTTTTCTGGCCCACCAGAGCCTAGCTGCATTGCCATACTGCAGATTTCTCGTTTCCCGGTTCTGAGGGTTCAGGGTTTAGAAATTACCACGCCGAGGGCTTAGAGATCGGGGGCTTTCGTTTTTTGTTGCAGCGTGGGTGCTCTGGGTTGGAGACATTCCTGAGACTGGCTTTGTTATCTTATGCACTGTGTTTGATGCAACCGCAACCACCACCGCGACACGACGACGACGACGACCATCATACTACTACTACTACTACTACTACTACTACTCCTACTACTCCTACTACTCCTACTACTACTACTCCTACTACTACTACTACTACTACTACTACTACTCCTACTACTACTCCTGCTACTCCCACTACTACTACTACTACTACTACTACCACCACCACCACCACTACGACGACGACGACGACGACCACTACTTCTAGTATTTTGTTTTGCCTGTTTATTCGTCTAGTTGGGGCCTGTAGTGTTTAGGGTTAGGATTACGGGTTCTGACCTCTAGGACTTCGTTGGTTTCAGAAAGCGTCCGAAGCATACCACCAGGCAACATAAAGCGTCGTGCTACCAATATTCGGAAGCGAAATAAAAAAATCAAAAACAGAAACCTCAGCATGTGTGTGTGTGTGAGTTTCAACGCAAAGCTCGCTCACAAAATTGGACTCTTGGACTCGTCCGTTGCTGCACTTACGTCATCGACACAATGAGTCATTCTCCACCTCGGCCGTTAAGTCGTCGATTGGGTATATAGTGTGTTCGTGTGTTTTATGTTGACCCATCTTCTGTCCGCATTCGGTGCTGGACTGCTGGACCTAGAACCCCGGCGTGGGACTCGTGGACACTTTTACGAAAGCTCACCCTCCAAGGAGCAAGTGGCCGCGGTTGGGTACTTTGCGCCTCGGAGTGCGACCTCTTAGAGAAGGCAAGCGTAATCTGAGAGAGAAGCCGCCCTGAAGCCGGAACCTCGAAGCCTGTTTGAGACGCCCCAAAGCATCGAGGTCTTTGGAGGGGAAGTGCCTGACGCTGAAGACGACCTCTGCAGAGGGTATGGATGGAACTTTGGGCGGCGAGTCTAAGGCTGGCGATAGAGTGGTCCGAGTCCCTGCTTTAGTTTATGCTTAGGGTTTTTAGGGTAATTGTGGTTATTGTCATTGTTGTTAAAGATCATCAAGTAGTGCTGTTTTTGTAGCAGCACCAGGAGCAGTGGCAGGAGTCTTCTGTGGCGGTAGCCAAAATAGTAGGAGTAGCAGCAAGCGGCAGTGGCTTTTTGCAGTGGCCGTGGAAGTAACAGGAGCAGCAACTCTAGCACCCCAGTATTTGACGTCATCGGGTGGTCGACATCATAATTATTCCTCGCACTCCTCCTGCTCCTCCTCCTCAGCTTCCTACTCATAGTTCGCATGAAGAACGATCATCGCAATCACCGTCATCGTCGTCCGGTCTTTCTCACTCGTCATCGCCCTCTTCATCCTACACTCATCCTCTCGGAACCTGGAGCGGTACCTGAAGGGACCTATCTTGGGATCGTGGACCCGGACCTCAGCATTCTGCCTGGTATCGAGCTGGCCTTGTGGTTCCCTGCAGGTTCGCTTCGATCACGAAGCTTTGATCCACGATGCCACCCGCCACTCGGCTGTTTGCTGAGTCTGCCTGAGTTCTGGTAGCACAGCCTGATCCCAGACGCCTTGTCGGGGGCGGATAGCGTTTTGTCGATCGGCGCAGCAGAACCACAAAGCTTCTCCAACTACAGTACGGGGTCGCGGACTCGTGCGGATTCCTTTTGGAGACAAGGATGCAGGTTTGTCAGTTTGGCAACACTGCCGCTACTTAAACTCTAAACCCTAAGCCCTTGGCAGACAAAAGAGCTTGCAAAAAGGGAAAATTAAACCCGAATCCATGACGAACACTGTGCCACTGCGCAGGAGTGGAGCCCTATGCAGCAGCAATCCGGGCTGCGGCAAAGGGTAAAACTGTGCTGGACATAGGCATCGGGGCCGGGGCATGTCAGAAGCTGTCAGCCTCTCATGGGCAATTGCCTGTCAGCAGCACCATGGTTGGTGGGCTCCGGAGTCTTGTCCTTAGGGTGACATGCCTTGTGAATGGCCGCCTTTGTGCCAATACTACAGCGGCAGCTGAAGTGTACTGCACTCCAGACTTCATCCGAGCTCTGCCTAACGGGGGCTCCACAAACATGTGTCGAAATGCTGTGTGCACATCGTCAGACTGTGGACCCTCGGCTACTTGACTCGAGTATGTTGGGTAAAAGGCCCACCCTCAGAGGGGATTTCAGCAGGGGTACTATAGGCGATACTGTCATTGAGTCATAAGGGATACTATAGCTACTCTAGCAAGGGATACGATAAGGAGTACGGCTTTGGAATACTACAACACTAGAAGGATATTATATATATATAATATTACATATGTTATATGTTATATAATGTATATTATATATTATACATTGCATATTGCATATTATATATTATATATTATATATTGTATATTATATATTATGGGGTTTTCCGGATCCTGGGAGGCACCGGCCCGGTTTGCTTCCTTGCGCGACTCTGCCTCCGTGCTGGCGCGCGGGCTGCCGATGCCGTGGAGACCGGCTTTTGAGGGGATGAGCAGGTTTAGGGAGTTTAGGGCTTGAGGGGTTAATCTAGGGGCCTTAATAAATAGAATAGGGTTTTGGGGCCCATTATACTACATTTATAATAAGGAACCCCCAAAATAATATAGGCAATACTTAAGGCCCCTATATTAAGGGTTTAATTGAGGTGCAGGGTGTTTCATAGGCTCTGTGCTTCATGGATTATGGCGACCTAACTTCCTAAGGACTAGCATTACTAGTAGCTGCAACGCTTCTGCATGAGTTGCAGCAAAGGAATTAGCTAGGTGAATTTCCTGTTTTGGTGGGACTAGGTCCCTTAATTACATCGAGTCACGTGCACATGAATCCATGTCAGACCTGCGCGAACCAGCTTAGCATGCAGATGGCGCGGTCTGCTTCAGCGCCGGGTTTGTAACTTCGGTGTTGTGCTGGCTTGGCAAAGGCTACCAGCAGCGTCGTTTGCCCTTCTGAAACGTTTTTTTCCGGCTACTGGAAGGTAAGCCTGTGTAACGGTCGTAGCAAACCTAGCACCTGACCATCAATCGCACGAAACCGAGGCCCGAAAAACTAAGACCATCTCCAAACCCTTAAACGCACACACGCACACACAGACAGAGACTCTCTCTCTCTGTCTCTCTCTCTCTCTCTATATATATATACACATATGAAATGTATATACATACATACATACATACATACATATATATATATATTACGATATGCTATGATATGATATGATATGATATGATATGATGTGATGTGATGTGATGTGATATGGTATGATATGATATAATGTATACACATACATCATACCTTAAGATCTACGCCCCAAGCACGACATTCCATGAGCCCCGTTGCTGCAGGAGAGCAACACCAGCTCCGTGGAGAGAGCCGTAGGGTTCTTCGAGGCAGAGGCCCGGATGTCTTACGGAAAAGGATCCTTTTTTGGGTGGTTTAGGGTTTAAGTTTAGGGTTTTAGGGTTTAGGGTTTAGGGTAAAGGGTTTCGGGTTTAGGGTTGGGGTGAGGGGGAGGGGGAAAGGGGGCCTGAGTACGCCTAAGGAGGACTTGATTTCAGGGTCTTATAAAAGGCAGTCTAGTCAGTCTAGTCCCCTACAACCCTCCCTCTTGCCTCCCTGTGAATGGGCCGTGGGTCGTGAGGGGGCAGAGTGGTGGAGGGGGAAGGCAGAAGGCTCCAGTTGGGTTTTCACACCAGTGGGACCACCTTAGCTATCGGAGCCTGCAACCTTGACGGTTGTAGCCCCGTATCAACTGCATTCCTTTTCTGTTTATACTTTTGGACTGTGTCGACAATGTTCGGAGGGTTTCGTGTCTTTCAAGTCTTTGGTCCTGCAGTGTGAAGGCACGCCGTGAGACATCCAGCACCGGCCGGATCCTCCCTTCCTGGGCAACGAGCCTTGGCGAAGACTCTCCAAGCCTTCGAAGTGTGAAGATGGTCTGCTCGAACGTTGCGTACAAAGCAGCTGTTTGGTCGTTTCTGGAGTGCATGGGGCAGAATTCAATAGGGACTGGATGGAGCATCGAATCTTGGCCACAGGGCCGCATGTGTACCAGAGTTTGCAGAGGCAGCTTGTGGCTGAAGATGTTTGTGCGGGTAGAAAATGGAAAATGGTAATTCCATGATATTGCAGGTTGCTCAATGTGCAGGAGGTCCGGCGCAGCTTGGCTTTCCGTGAGGCACTGGCCAAAACATACGTTAAGCTCATAACTCACATGGCTGCCGGCTTTGTCGGCATGGATCCCTTCCGTCTTCGTTGGAAGGCGGGCCTGCAGATTCTCAGGTGCCCCCAAGAAGCGAGACCCAAATGATCAGCCCAGCCCCTCTTCTCCAGATCACCACGACAGTGAGGCGAAGAGCATGCCGTTTCAGTTCGCCTCACTGGCGCAGTCGGGGATCAGGAGCGTGGCACCGTGGGATGAGCACGAACGAGCGCTTCATGTCCTAGTGTGCCGAAGCCACAAAACATAGCTACGACGACGATTTGCAGCTCTCACAACACAGTTAAAAGCCGCACAAACATCAAGTCGAAACCTGGACACTGATGATGGCAAAAGCACCACGAATAATGCGGAGCAGCAAAATAAACTCAGCATAATCAATAATCAGGTCTAGTCGGTCTAGTCATGAACACAACCACAATACTGCTAGTTACAACAAGACCTGATCCAGACGCCTCTGTTGCACAAGTCATGCGGCTTGGGAACGCCCCTGGGCTCCTCATGACGGCACGGAAATTCAAAGGATGACTTCGTGTGTACCGCAGCTTCGCTGTACGTGCTAGTGCCACGGCCAGCGTGGTCGTCATCGTCGTAGTGGTGCTGGTGGAGGTGGTTTTGGTGGTTGTGGTGGTTGTGGTGGTGGTGGTGGTGGTGGTGGCAGTAATGAGTATGGCTAGCGGCTAGCAGGAGTAGTTCGCTGACTAGTTAGCCGTTGTAGTTTTTTGCAGTTATGGTTAGCAGTTAGCGGTGGTAGCTAGAAGTATAAGTAGCAGCAAGCAGTAGTAGGCGGTGCCCTTGCAGAGGCAAAGCATGCCCACTACTTGCAACGATCCGCAGCGTTGCATGGTTGGCAGCTTTTTGGGGAACAGCGGTTTGAAACAATCTCGTCGTTTGCGGGCCACGAGGTTAAGTTGCTGTTGTGGAAGTTCTTCAGAAAGTAGAAGAGATTGAAGGAGAAACGCATGTGAGGCCCGGAACTCCGCCCGGCCGTAGACGTCAGGAGCTGCAGCTCTTCTGCGGCCTTTCTACCAATCCGGACTTGCGGCTTCGGGGTAGAGGCAGGTGCAAGTGCAATCTTGGGGGATCTCCACGATTCCCGTATTCCTACACTGGGACATCTTTCCAATATGGTGCCCAAGCCCATCCCAAACATTGAGCAAAGCCCAAGGGAGCCCCGATTTGCGCAGGCAGCTACACCATGCTTGTGCACGAGATCCTTGGTGCCTCAGCTCGAATTTCATTTCGCGATCTGAGTTTTCTAGAATTTCCAGTCTTCGGAACGGTGAAAATCTCCGAGCTGCTGGAATAGATTGGTGACAAGGAAGATGGAGTCTTGAAGTGGAGTGGATGATTGCCCCGTCCTGACAGGTGATATGGCGGGGAACGAGGTGCGCCTTGCAGCTGACCGTGGGTTTAGTTTGCCAGCCTGAGACCACCCCATGCAGAGTCAGGGAGCTGGTGTCAATGTCAGGCGGAAATCCTTCAATGCAGGTATACTTGCACGTTGACATCCCCAACACAGGAGTCAAAGTGAGCCTTTTCGAACTGGATCGTGCCAAAGTTGTCAGTGTGAGTCTAGTCATGAAAACGCACAATGCTCGTGACAAAAAGCAAACGCAGTAGAATCCGTCACGATTGATGCAAAAGCCGTCATGCAGTACTCCAAGAGGCCTTACTGTCAGATCTATGATGGTCCTCGCAATGTTGCACGAGACACTCTGCTTTTGCCTTGAGTGTTTTGACTGCTGACTGCGCAGACCCAGCCAGAAACTCGCGATGGGCTGAAGCACGCAGCTTCCAGCCTCGGGTTTGCTCGCTAACACTTGCAAACAGAGACGCATGCCGAGGGACCAATGCATTCATCGCGTACTCATACAGGTCTGTTGGCTTCTATGTAGCTGCAAAAAACCAGCATCAGAGCGTACGCAGGTTTCTACACCAGCTTACAAAAGCACGTGCAGTGAACCACGAGACGTAGCTGCTGTCAAGGATGCCGCACTGGTGCTGGACGACATTCACCAGCGCGGCCTCCTTGCACCGGACGGGTTTTGGGCTTCTCTCCTTGCGCACGGTTCTGCCCTGAACAAAAGGAGGGCTCTTGCTTTGAGGCACGGTCACTCACTCCCCAGTTAGCAACTTCAATGCTTTTGCTTAGCTCATCTCTCCATCTAGCGAACATACGTAGGCAAGATCTTGCAGGATCGCATCTCCTGAACAAGATGCAGACTTCTTGTTGACTGCGGTCTATTGGAAACGGGCTGTAGCATACATGATCGTGAGACGACCCAGCCAGCCCATTTTTTTGAGGCAGTGTCAGATGTAGGTTGTGTCATGCGATCAATCCTAAAGCCCATGACCCTAAACCCCGAGCCCCAAATCCGAAACCCTACACTCGAGACCCGAAATCACAGGACTGTGTCGTCATCCCGTATCTCGGATGCACTCTTTGCCAGCTAAGGGGCCCCTGCCCTGAGACAAGAGTCCCAGCTGGTCAGACACCCCAAAATCCAGAGTGGGTTTAGGCCTTGGGGTTTAGGGTTTAGGCTTTGGGGGTTTGGGCTTATAAGGCTTAGGGTTTAGGGAGTTTGGGGTTTTAAACATCGGCGGTTGCGATGGCCCAGAAGCAGCCCAAGGAAAAGAGCATGGATCCCTTCGGCCCTCCTCTCATCAGGCATAGTTCTGGCATCTAGTGAATTTCAATATGATTGAGAGGTTTACAATTCCTATGGTTGGTTGTTGTTACGAAGTATGACTATTAGGTAGTCAGTATAAGGCATTCTTAGCTGTTCTTGATGCGCATTAACTTTGTCAGCAGCATCATTGCCAAGATTGTACTGTGACTACTAGAGTGATTATTGATGTCTGCAATCGTTATTGTTATTGGCTTCGTTCGTAGTTGTTATTGGTACTACCACTGTTGTTCGTATTTCATGCTTGTTTAAGTCTCCCGCTGCACGAAACCACTAGTAAATGGTTCTTAGACCCAGACGAAACGGACATCCAGCAGTCTAGCCAGATGAAACTTGGGACTTCTTGAGCAAGACTTGCAACATAAACTGGCTACATCAACACTAATTGCAGCTTGCTCTTTAGTCTTGTCCTTCACATTGTGGCCAGGTCTGACTGACTTCACGTAGGACTCAAGTTCTTGCCACGTCTCGATCTCATAGGAGAGCTTCCTCCACATTGCTGGCGCCGACGGAAGTGCTGAATCGCACTACCATGGAGCCTTGTTTGGGT